GTGTTGTCTTAGGTACAAGTTTAAAAAGACACTCGAAGAAACAGGATTTATTCGACAACTTTTCGGTCCTTGGACCTTGTTCAAGGTCCCAGGACCGAAACGTTGTCTCATAACACCAAGCTTATGCTCACGTTTCTCTAAACCACTTGTCGGTAAGAATCACCAAGGCTTATACCAAGTACTGAAGGGAGAGAAGTGCTGCTGAGCAAGTCTTCCTCATTTGCTACCTTTCGACCCGGTACATAGAAACGTTGCAAGAGTGTTTCTCTTGCAACATCAGAGCTCATTAACCACTTGTATTCCCATTGTCTTCAGCATGAGGATGGCAGGCCTTGCCTGGGGCGCCTCGATGCTCCTCATGGACTCTTGATCCCAGGAACTGGAGCTGCCTTTCCCTTGGATCACTCCTTGATTATCTCCCATTTCCCCCGGGAGATATTATAAAGGGAGGGAGCCCCTACTGGTTTAGCGCTTCCCAATACATCAGCATAAAGTTGCAATCTTATCTTATGGACGTATACTGGCAGCATATTTTTTTTAGACCACTTCAGTTCAAGCTCACTCAGTGAAGTGTAGCAACTTGCTCCCCTTCCTCGGATCGAACTAGATCACGCGCCATTTTCCTGGCTCTGTTTAACCCTTACGGGTTTTGTGCTTCCTTATGAATATATTAAGCCTAAGACTCCAGTTCGATCTCCAGGCGCATTAATTTTCCTTTTCATATCCAGCATTATTATTATTATTATTATTATTATTATTATTATTATTATTATTATGATTATTATGATTATTATTATTATTATTATTATTATTATTATTATTATTATGATTATTATTATTATGATTATTATGATTATTATTATGATTATTATTATGATTATTATTATTATTATTATTATTATTATTATTATTATTATTGCATACACTTTTTATTATTTTTTATCATTAGTATTCTATTACTATTATTGTTAATATTTTTATTATTGTATTTATGGGGAGGCTCTAAACCCGTATTGGTCATAAAGCACACTGGGAATGAGAAGGAATCAGTTTTGTTTCCAGAGGAAGAGAAGCTCCGGTTCTATGAGTCAACAAGCCTTCAACATCGTCACTCTTGAAAGATTTGATATTCCACATACTGTCTAATGTCTAGCTACAACGTTCACCTGAACTAATCTGCTTGAACATCTTACTCGTTTCTGAAACACTGCAAGCTCCTGAGGATGTGTTGATTAAAACACCAAAGACCTAGAGCTGTCATTCAACTCCCCCTGTGGTTGTTTTGCATACATTCTAAATGTCGATGTTGACTGGTCCAGCTCCTGTAACTCGTTCACAGGATCATTTCTTTTTTTTTTTTTTTTTGTATTTTACAGATACACAAATTTTTTGAACATCTAACAGGATTGTGAGAGCGTATTAGGTGTGAGTGATGGAAGTGGCTTTTATGATTTGTTGTGCTGTTAGAGTGTTAGCAAGGTAGCAATGTTCCTTCTTTCTAATGTTCTTATGTAACATTTGTGAAGGGAGGTGGGAAGCACCGTAACTGCACCCTGAAAGAGGTGTCGGGGGGGGGGGGGAGGGTTATGTTACGGTTTGGAGAGTCATCAGAACTGTGAAGTCAATCACCGTCTTGCTTCTGGCAAGACAGTGATTGACTGGTGAACAGTGAATGTGTTTGCTTCTTTTGTTTGGTAGGGGTCACTTTATATCACTGGAAAAAGGCCGCTGTGTTAAATAAAACATTTTGCATTATCTCTAATAAAATATTCTCGTATACTCCGCCTATCACACGCGTTATTACGTGTTTTTGCTGACCCGCTTCAACATTGTTTAAAAGTTAGGTGATTTATGATAATTTCGTGCAGAGTTGATTGTTGGTCTTCGTAGCGCAAGCAAACTCGGGTTCAATCCTTGGGTGGCCGACGCATATTGGCAAGTTTCCTAACATCTGCTGCTTCAGTTTACCTAGCGGTATATAGGTACCTATCAGTTAAAGGAATGTTTTGGGTGGCAACCCAAAATACGACTAAAGAACACTTGCGAAAATAAGTGACACTGCTAATTATTGGCTTATCCTGGGTTAATGATCCTTCTGGGTTATAAGTGACACTGCTTAGCATTCTTGGATTATCCTGAGAAAACAAACTTAAGAAACTGATAGTGTTTTATGGCCGATTATAACCCCAGAGTTTGATGTACTCTCAGGAGTTAATCCTTCTCATTCCCTTCCTCTCCAAGAATTTTGCCTTAGTACCGGTGAGAGGCTCTTCATCCAGGGAAGCGGACTAGTCTTCCCCTTTCGTGGGTTGAACCTGATTGCTTCCCACACCCTATGAGCTGTATGACCCATACGGGTTTAGCTCTTCTCCCTGAATAAAATTACGAAGTAAAAGGCACAATACCGTGACTGGGACAATACAAAATTAGCCTTCACAAAGGAGAAACTTAAACGACGTTTCGGTCGGGCAGAAACGTCCTCATAATTTTCTCCTGTGTGCGGCTTATTTGTGCATACTAATATTATTATTTTCCCCTTTTTTTAATATGATTTTCTCTTGTTATCGTGCATTATATTTTGCTGGTAACTGTTTAGTACAATTTTCTCAGTTCACGTACCACACGCAGCTTGAAGACTAGATACGATAGAACCACAGTGAAGGGAGATGCTGGAAGCGTCTGTGAAGCACTGAGAAGGTAGAAGGGCCTGGGAATTTACGGGGGAATACTAAGAGAAAAACACTACGTGTATTACAACAATATCTGATGATGAAGTTGTCTTTCCAACCACTGAAATTGTAGAAACAGATTAATACTCAGTGGAGTTGTTTCCCCTTTTGTTTTAATATTTAAGGTTGTGATAAAATGTATTTTAAATAACAATATAAGTCAATTTTCCGTGCATGCTAAAATAGTGGGCATGTTGATGTGGGCATGTTGATGTGGGCATGTTGATGTGGGCATGTTGATGTGGGCATGTTGATGTGGGAATGTTGATGTGGTTAATGTTTACGTAACGAGACCTTAATGTTAAAATTCCCTACAGTCTGTCATGTAGATAAATGGTTCAGAGAACCGACAAGTTGATAAATTAGACACATGTGTAACACTTGGGTATCTTTACTGAAGAAACGTTTCGCCAAACAGTGGCTTCATCAGTCTATACAAAGAAGAGTGGTGGTGATAAGAAGGAGTTTGATGCAATCAGTCCCTTAATCATAACTGATGGACTGATTACATCGACTCCAGGCTGAGGGACAGGTAACTTCAAACTCCTTCTGATCTTCACCATTCTCCTTTGTATTGGACTGATGAAGCCACTGTATGGCGAAACGTTTCCTCAGTAAAGATACCCAAGTGTTGCACATGTAATTTACCAGCGATTACCATCTGTTGTTCTCCCATCATAATACGGCAGCGACTTTATCAGTTTTTTAACAACCTGGAATAGTGTATAATAGAAATATTTTTGCAAAATGTTTAATGCACTTTGAAGAATTTTCAGAAATCCATAATGACCGCCACAAAAATGGGTTATGTCGTTTTTGCCCCCCCCCCCCAAAAAAAATAATAATGTGCATTTAGATAATTCAAAAGTGGAAATTTATTTTTCACGCACGGATTTCATTTCTGGCCAATGCAAAGTCATAAGGATGATTTTATCAGCACTTTAGGATGATAAAACTCGGTAAGTCAATGTGGTCAGTCACTTATCTTCACATTCAACTAGATAAAAGTCTGAACTCGTTGTGCCAAACATTTAATGAATTCTGTACAGATACCCCCCTCATGGAAGGTTCCTTGATGTTGGTGAGGGGGCTCTTGATTTAGGGAATTGAATCTGTGCTCCAGTTCCCCGAATTAAGCCTGAATGCCTTCCACATCCCCCCCCCCTGGGCGCTGTATAATCCTACGGGTTTAGCGCTTCCCCCTTGATTATAATAATAATGTACAGATACAGAATAACATGTAGCCATGGCGCGTGTTCTGAAATGTTTCTTGAAAATAAAATTATATAGTAATATTCTAAAGTATTGTATTTCTTTTGCAATTGAACATTAATGTAGGATTCTGTTTCAAACTCTCTATCTGCTTTCCCCTCAAGAGAAGTTTCTTAAGGGGCTCATGATCCAATAAATTGTACATGCCCTCCCCTTCCTTGGATCAAACCAGAATGCCTCCCATTCAATCTGTTTCTCTTGGGGTATTGAATTTGTAAATAAGAGATCCTTCAATATTCAAGTATTCGTCTTATCAGTACATCCTAATAGACTATTGGAAATATTCCTGGTGAATTAACAGTAAACAAAAAACGAGTTTTCTGGATGAAAACAGATGAGTTCAAACGTTTGAACCTTTAAAAATTCTCACTAGAAGCAAAATTATGGCCAAAACATTTGCGTGATGATCTGAGATTTCCGAGAATTCACAAAATGCACCCTGTCATTGTGTTCTGTATCAAGGATCCCTAGATAATAAATCTGCAAAACAATATTGGATTACCAACACGACCAGGTTCACTGCTCCGGCTGCTGGAATACTATTTTGCCCATTGTGTTAGAAGAGACCCCGCCTTCTGTACCTGCTAAACTATATTATAGCATCATCTGCACGCTAGTCCTTCCTTATATTGTAGCAGACGCTTCACTCACCTGTCTTGCTGACCTTCATAAACTCACCCTCACCTCATTACCCACAAAGTTTTTAAAAACTTTTAAAATATACCTTTGCAAGGCTGCCATAACATATTAGTCATTTTTAAAACTTTTTGAAACTTTTTAACCATTTATTATATTGTACAAATCAAAATATTAACTTTTAAAATTAGATTAAGCTGATACAAGTAATTCAGTTATTTAATTAGTTTGATTCTGTTTATCAGTAATAAATGACTTCCCTCTAGTTTTATTTGCATTGTTAAAAAAAGGTAACTCTGGTTGACGTGGTCTGGTTCAGCTAACAAACTTTCCCTGACGAAGTGTTCTCACCAACTTTGCCAGGACGACGAGTCTAAGAGCTCTTCCAAAGCCAACGAACTGGGCCTCAACAACGTCGGTGGCGTCTTCGTGGTGCTCCTCGCCGGTATGGGTCTCGCTTCCGTCGTCGCTGTCTGCGAGTTTGTCTGGAAGTCAAGAAAGTTGGCTACTGAAGAACACGTGAGTGTTCTTCCTCAGTTCTGGTAAAGATTTTTGGCCTCACAGCTGGGATAAAAAAAATGATTTTTTCCACTTATGTGTCTTCTTACCGGCAGTTTGAACTGAAATTTGCATGATTTATATGAATTATCTTAAGCTAAGTTTTTTAAATAACTTTTGATAACACTAGTAAAACACTAGCAGACGAGTTATATCGATCATACACTGGTTAAAACTATGCTGTCATGACGTGTGCATCCAGAGATTAACTGGGAACAAAGCTCTCGAGGGAATGGTCGATGATTCAGAGATGGGACAGGTCGATAACCCAGAGCTAGGAAGCAAGAGTCAAGACGCTGGGCCAGTCGATAGTCCAGAACTGGGAGTCAGATCTCAAAGGTGGGACGATTCAAGTCTCCCTTATTAACAACTAGGGTGCTGTAAGACGGTGTAAGGGAGGCGGGATGCAACTGGATCGGCAGACTAGTTACTTCTCACACCATGAATGACTTTTTCTGCAGCAAAAATTAATGAAAAGGCATAATTGCTCGCTCAGTTGTTTAGGGCAATTATTGATGCATTTATGGGAGTTCTGTTCCCGTAGGGGTTATAGTGTATGGAAAATGGGAGGCAGTAAGATTAGTTCTAAAGAAGGGGAGAGTAAGCCCTTCACTGACATCAAGGTACTTCCCTGGAATGAAGTGCAGGTTTAGACCTAAAAATATTACTTTTTTTTTTTCAAATTACATCTCCATGGGAGCTTCTAAGCCTAAAGACTCATAGTCTCAGGAACGAGAATTATTGATAGTTTATTCGATATAATGCCAATGAAACAAAACCTTAAATTAGCTACGGAAAAAAATCGCATCTTTTGGAATACCTTATTTTGCAGGTGTTTCGTGGTGTTTGTGGTGGTTTATTCGTCAGGAAATATCAGTGACTTCTGGACACATGTTTTAGTAAGATATGATGACCCGTCATTGATTAAGGATCCAACGGCATACCCCAGCTAGTTTCTTATTCGTGGTGTCAGAGAGAAGGACTCACGAAGAAGTGGCACAAAAGACAAAGTGATGTAACAGTGAGCCAGGAAGCCAAAGGGTCATGATTTCAGGTGAAGTAGAACGGCTTTGGAAATTCTCTTCTTATAAAGTACGTCAGTATTTTTGAAAGAAATGAGTTTTGAAGACACTTTTATGTCCACACTAGGATAAGACTTTCGAAGAGCTCAGATAACCAAGAAAGTTAATTCTTCATCGGGTAAATCAATCTATCTTTCCGATACAGATATGAAATTCAAGTTACACGTAAGAAAAATTTATAAATAATCCAAGATTATTATGGCGTCGCAGGAGATTTATGACAAAAATAGTGCTCAAAGTGGTGCCACCAGCATAAAGCCTGACAACATTACAAAGATTTTTTTATTAAAAAGAAGAGAAAGCAGAATTATAATTATAAATACAATTGTGCAGGATATAAAAAAAATTAAACTTATTCATAGATAGAAAAAATCAGTAAATTAAGATAGATGAGTATCAGCAGGAGACGTAACCTTGATGAAACAGAAAACCAGAGCAGTCAAGGCGTTTTACAAACGTTATTTGACAAAACCATTCAAGGTGTTTTCAGCGCTGCATGACCCTCGTCGGTTTAGCGCTTTCTTTGATTATAAGAATAATTAAAGATGTTTTACATCAAAATGCTATATAGTTCACCCTTAAATATCTCTGGCCTCTACATTATGTTCCACTGACAAAGGTAAGGAAACTCACTGGGCGTACTGAGGAAGACCTTCCTGACCTGTGAAGACTCGAAGTAAAACGATTTGGTTAAGAAATGACTTGAGAAGTTTTGTTGAGTCTACCTTACAATGTATTTTACAAAATTTACCTTGAAAAATCATTCAAGTGTTTCATAAACTGTACTGTATATTAAAAAAGCACAAGCAAATAAAAGGTAAGATAATTTGAAGTTTTAGTTTGGTCAAATTTTGACAGGTTTACCGTGTGTGTTTGTGGTTGTTGGGGTTGAGTCACAGCTCCTGGCCCCACCTCTTCGCTGATCGCTACTAGGTCCACTCTTTCTCTGCTCCAAGAGTTTTTTTTTTTTTTTTTTTTTTTTTTTTTTGTGTGTGTGTGTGTGTGTGTGTGTGTGTGTGTGTGTGTGTGTGTTTTGTACTCCCTAGTTGTACTCAGCTAGTTGAAGTAGCAAGGGTCGAGTCGCAGCTCCTGGCACCGCCTCTTCACTGGTTACTACTAGGTCACTCTTCCTGCACCATGAACTTTATCATACCTCTTCTTAAAGCTATTTAGGGATCCTGCCTCCACTACATCACTTCCCAGACTATTCCACTTCGTGACAACTCTGTGACTGAAGAAATATTTCCTAATATCCTTGTGATTCATCTGAGTCTTCAGCTTCTAACTGTGACCCCTTGTTGCTGTGTCCCATCTCTGGAACATCCTGTCTCTATCCACCTTGTCGATTCCTCTCAGTGTTGTATATGTCGTTATCCTATCCCCCCCTATCCTGCTGTCCAGTGTCGTCAGGTCGATTTCCCTTAACCTCTCCTCGTACGACATGCCCTTTAGTACCGGGACTAGTCTTGTTGCAAACCTTTGTACTTTCTCTATTTTCTTTACGTGCTTGGCTAGGTGTGGGTTCCAAACTGGTGCTGCATAATCCAATTTAGGCCTAACGTACACGGTGTACAGGGTCCTGAGCGACTCCTTATTAAGATGCCGGAATGCTATTCTTTGGTTTGCTAGGCGCCCATATGCTGTTTGGTTGATGTGAGCCTCAGGAGATGTGCCTGGTGTTATACTCACCCCAAGAACTTTTTCCTTGAGTGAGGCTTGTAGTCTTTGGCCCCCTAGACTATACTCCGTGTGCGGTCTTCCTTGCCCTTCCCCAATTTTCATGACTTTGCACTTGGTAGGGTTGAACTCCAAGAGCCAGTTACTGGACCAGGCCTGCAGCCTGTCGAGATCCTTTGTAGTTCTGCCTGGTCCTCGTCCGATTGAATTCTTCTCATCAGCTTCACATCATCTGCAAACAGGGACTCTTCTGAACCTATTCTTTCCGTCATGTTCATAAATACCAGAAACAGCACCTGTCCTAGGACTGACCCCTGTGGAAACCCGCTCGTCACAGGCGCCCACTCTGACACCTCGCCACATACAATGACTCGCTGTTGTCTTCCTGACAAGTATTCCCTAATCCATTTGCAGTGCCTTCCCTGTTATTCCTGTTTGGTCCTCCAACTTTTTCACTAATCTCTTGCGTGGAACTGTGTCAAACGCCTTCTAACAGTCCATGAATATGCAGTCAACCCACCACTCTCACTCTTGTCTTACTGCTTTCACCCTGTCATAGAACTCTAGTAGTGTGTGTGTGTGTGTGTGTGTGTGTGTGTGTGTGTGTGTGTACTCACCTATTTGTACTCACCTATTTGTGGTTGCAGGGGTCGAGTCACAGCTCCTGGCCCCGCCTCTTCGCTGATTGCTACTAGGTCCTCTCTCTCCCTGCCCCATGAGCTCTATCATACATCGCCTTAAAACTATGTATGGTTCCCGCCTCCACTACGTCACTTTCTAGGCTATTCCACGGCCTGACTACTCTATGACTGAAGAAATACTTCCTAACATCCCTTTGATTCATCTGAGTCTTCAACTTCCAATTGTGACCTCTTGTGTCTGTGTCCCTTCTCTGGAACATCCCGTCTTTGTCCACCTTGTCTATTCCGCGCAGTATTTTATATGTCGTTATCATGTCTCCCCTGACCCTCCTGTCCTCCAGTGTCGTCAGGCCGATTTCCCTCAACCTTTCTTCGTAGGACAATCCCTACGTGTGTGGGTGCGTGTGTGTTTGCGTGTGTGTGTGTGTGTGTGTGTGTGTGTGTGTGTGTGTGTGTGTGTGTGTGTTTGTTTCCGATAGAGAAAGTTACACATAGAGCACAGACAACGCAGAATCGGGTGAACCAATACGTAAACAGTCACAAGCTCAGCAGTGATCAACGTAACAAACCTCACACCATGCGTGATATTCCAGCAGTGATCAACGCAGCAAACCTCACACTGTGTGATATTCCAGCAGTGATCAACGTAACAAACCTCACACCATGCGTGATATTCCATCAGTGATCAACGCAGCAAACCTCACACCATGTGTGATATTCCAGCAGTGATCAACGTAGCAAACCTCACACCATGCGTGATATTCCAGCAGTGATCAACGTAGCAAACCTCACACCATGTGTGATATTCCAGCAGTGATCAACGTAAACTTCACACCATGTGTGATATTCCAGCAGTGATCAACGTAGCAAACCTCACACCATGTGTGATATTCCAGCAGTGATCAACGCAGCAAACCTCACACCATGTGTGATATTCCAGCAGTGATCAACGTAGCAAACCTCACACCATGTGTGATATTCCAGCAGTGATCAACGCAGCAAACCTCACACCATGTGTGATATTCCAGCAGTGATCAACGTAGCAAACCTCACACCATGTGTGATATTCCAGCAGTGATCAACGTAACAAACTTCACACCATGTGTGATATTCCAGCAGTGATCAACGCAGCAAACCTCACACCATGTGTGATATTCCAGCATTGATCAACGTAACAAACCTCACACCATGTGTGATATTCCAGCAGTGATCAACGCAGCAAACCTCACACCATGTGTGATATTCCAGCAGTGATCAACGTAACAAACCTCACACTGTGTGATATTCCAGCAGTGATCAACGTAACAAACTTCACACCATGTGTGATATTCCAGCAGTGATCAACGTAACAAACCTCACACCATGTGTGATATTCCAGCAGTGATCAACGTAACAAACCTCACACCATGTGTGATATTCCAGCAGTGATCAACGTAACAAACTTCACACCATGTGTTATATTCCAGCAGTGATCAACGTAACAAACTTCACACCATGTGTGATATTCCAGCAGTGATCAACGTAACAAACTTCACACCATGTGTGATATTCCAGCAGTGATCAACGTAACAAACTTCACACCATGTGTGATATTCCAGCAGTGATCAACGTAACAAACTTCACACCATGTGTGATATTCCAGCAGTGATCAACGTAGCAAACCTCACACCATGTGTGATATTCCAGCAGTGATCAACGTAACAAACCTCACACTGTGTGATATTCCAGCAGTGATCAACGTAACAAACTTCACACCATGTGTGATATTCCAGCAGTGATCAACGTAGCAAACCTCACACCATGTGTGATATTCCAGCAGTGATCAACGTAACAAACCTCACACTGTGTGATATTCCAGCAGTGATCAACGTAACAAACTTCACACCATGTGTGATATTCCAGCAGTGATCAACGTAACAAACCTCACACCATGTGTGATATTCCAGCAGTGATCAACGTAACAAACCTCACACTGTGTGATATGCCAGCAGTGATCAACGTAGCAAACCTCACACCATGTGTGATATTCCAGCAGTGATCAACGTAACAAACCTCACACTGTGTGATATTCCAGCAGTGATCAACGTAGCAAACTTCACACCATGTGTGATATTCCAGCAGTGATCAACGTAGCAAACCTCACACCATGTGTGATATTCCAGCAGTGATCAACGTAACAAACCTCACACTATGTGTGATATTCCAGCAGTGATCAACGTAACAAACTTCACACCATGTGTGATATTCCAGCAGTGATCAACGTAACAACCCTCACACCATGCGTGATATTCCAGCAGTGATCAACGTAACAACCCTCACACCATGCGTGATATTCCAGCAGATTTTAACGTTGCCTGGGCCTGCCAGATATAGCACTGTTATATATGTCACGGCCCTTTTTTAAATTGGTTTATTCATGGTTATATATATATATATATATATATATATATATATATATATATATATATATATATATATATATATATATATATATATATATGCGCTTTTGCAGTTAATTTAACCTACCATGCCTTAAAGGAAAAAAATATATACTCCTAATTGCCAGGTATATACAGAGATGTTATCTGTAAATTGAGAAGAAGACAAACGATGAAAATGATATTCAAAATACGGCGGTAATCTTCTTCAGTATACAAAGAACACCGTCAGGAAAATATTTTTGTTTTATTTAATGCCTGTGATGATTGTACCAGGATAAGGGACGAGATCTGACAGTGTCCAGAGGAAGAAGCAGTTATACAACGATTAAAAAGCGCACGAGAACAAAAGTAAGTTGTTGAAGCTTGCATGTGAAGCAATATTTACTAGGAAAGCGTTTAAAAATAATATCTAACACCATATGCGTCATTTAGTAACAAGTGTAGAAAAGGAGAGAGAGATTCCGCCAGGGACATGAGAGAGTTATGACACACACATTACTGTAAAGGGAGGTACGTTGATGATGGTGAAGGGCTTTTAGTTCATAGAACTGGAGCTACTCTCCCCTTCCTCGAGTAAATCCTGAATTATTTCCATTCCCCAGACGCTGTATACCTTAGATAATGCAACACTTCCTCGTGAGCATAATAATAATAATACTATAATAACAGTGACAACAGTAAATATTATAAAGTAACAGTAGTAATATTTGTAATAACAGTAGTAGTAGCTATAGTAAGCTTCAAGAAAAGGAATAATTTCATTCGTGCCTTTGGGTCATTTTCCACTGTGTAACACATCTATAGTATGTATCATATCTTAGAACCTCTGTTAAAAATTATATGACACACCAACGTAATATACCATGGCAGCAGTCTTATTCATCTTGCATACGACATCTCTTATTTTCAATGTATCTTAAGTATCCTTTACATTTTGTACATGAGACTCTTCCATTAGTATAACTCACACTATCAACCAAAGTTATTATATATGTTTGTGCAAGAGAAATTCCATTTGTTTAGGCAAGAGAAATCTGTTTATTTCGGCCCAAATTGAGATATACACATCTCTCTTACCTGGATTTCACATTTATCTCCAAGGTGTTTCTCATTCAGCATCAATCAGTGTTTCTGACACTAATACAAGTATATTTGTCTATATTTATGATCTGGAGGAATATCGCGATATTTCAGGTAAATCATCCATAATGCCTCAACATATCGCTGGCCAAAATGAGAGAGTTGTGTCCATGTTGTCTCTTTGTAAGACGAAAAACACCCAAGTGATGTCCAGTCTGTTGTGTGTAAGTGCCAGGCATCCCCCCCTTGTGGCACCTAGAAAACTTGTAACCACACCTATATAAATATAAAAAATTCCCAGACTTTAACGTCAGTCTGACTGAAGCACAATTTGACCGAAATCACTCAAAAAAAAATAGACTACAAAAAAAGCTCCCTCTCTAC